GGGCAGCCGGTCTGCCAGTATTACATGCGGGCCGGGACGTGCAGGTTCGGAGGATCATGCAGGTACCACCATCCGAATCGGGCTCCAACTTCTGATGAACACCAAAGCTAGAAACGCCCGCCGAGCCTATCAAATAGGTTTGGGGCAGACGGTTTGCTGGTATTGTTTTGTGCTGTCTCGGACGTGCAGGTTTGGAGAATCAAGCCAGTGCGGCACCAACCACTCCCTTCCTGTCAGAAGTGGGGTATGAGTCTGGTATCCATGCTCAAGTCATGCACAGCACAGGGATGTGTGGATGAAGACACGGTACTAGAAAGTAGAGTGCTTTGAGTGTAGGAAACTAGTGGGTTTGCTTACCTGCATGCATTTAGGTGGATTGGATTCGACTCTGTAGTGAAATGCCGTAGTGAATGAAACTTGGCAGTGCTGCTGGGTTAAAATCCTGTAAAGTGCGGACGAAAGAGGGGGAAAATGAGGGGGTGAAAGACGGGGACAGACAAGGGGGAAAAGGTAGGGAAGGGGGAAGGGGAAGGAAGCGACGGGGCGGAATAGAGGGAAAGGGAGGGGAGAAGAGATGGAGAAGGGGAGTGATGAGAGAGGGGAGGGGAGGGGAGTGATGGGGAGTTCAGTCACTTTTGAGTGCCTTTCAGTGGAAGTACTATACCGGTATGTTGAATATTGTGTTTCGGATCCCCTCGTAATGCTGTCCGCCATTTTCGCTACGCCCTCTCCTACGATACAAACCCATTTGCTGAACTTCCATTGGCAAACCCATTGCAAAACCTTTCTCGTCTTACGTTTTTTTTTTCAATTATGTTATGATTTACAGCTCTATATATTCCTGTTACGAAATTTGCACTTCCCTGGTAGAAGAATATTGATGCAGACAGATATGCTCCAGCTACGGTTTCAAATATGTTTTCTGCAATGCCAATGTCGAGTATGTTCCATCCTCCTGGATTCTGCCGAAGCCGCCTGACAAATTCTTCACTACTACCATAGCTTGTCAGTCTTCAGAAGCTTGTGGTACATCCAGAGCCATTTGAAACGGCTTTATTTTCGCTAGGTGCGCTTCCTGTAGCTTCTTACGCTCCCGACGTCCCGTTTCACATCTATTTTCTTTCCTTGCTGTCGCCTTTTTTGCCTGATTGCTCGCTCGTTCGGATCCTTTTCCGTGCGTTGCTGGCTTCGCCGTCGCTTCGCCGGCGTCGTTTTCGTTTCGCCGGTTTCGTCTTTGCCTCGCCGATTTCGCCATCGCCTCGCCTGGCATGATGGTAGCTCCTCACGTGAACCGTCCGGCGCTGCACACTATCACATTGACTGTGCGAGGCAGTCGTTCCTTACTGTCACAGCCGGTACTGTCACGGCTCGTGCCATCCGCGTGTCGATGGATTCGCGCTTTTGGTGTGCTTGGAATAAAGACACGGACGACACTATTTCTAAGGAGTAGAGTAGCTTGCTCGTTGCATGAAGGATCCTAGTAGTAGTAATCTCTCTGAGATAGGTTTTCTGACGAGTTTCCGGAGATCAAGATTTCTAGACACGGACCTTGTATATCAAGCTTCTTCTAAGCGGCTTGTTCTCCTGCCAACCACCTGAAGAATCTCCTGGAAGCTGACATTCTCACCGTCAACCTGATATCCTGACACCCAGCACTTGATTCGCCTCAAAAGCTGACACCCTCACCATCAGCCTGACAGCCTGGCAGCCTGATAGCCAGCATCGCCTCTCCAGCGTCACGTGTACATTGAGGCTTCGTTAAAGTGGCTCAGTTAAGTTTGATACTCTCAAGGAATCAGCAGGAATCGGTCGCCAGTCAACGTACAAGTCATGAAGCAGCAAGTGCAGCACATCATGCAACGACATCGCGAGGTGACGCGACGCGAGGTGTTGCGAGGACAGCGCAACGACCGTCAGCGCGCGTTGGTCCTCCTCCTGTCTCTCCTGCTTCTGGTTGTTGCACGGTCTACTTCTGCAGTGGCATCAGCAGCAGGAGCAGCAGGAGCAGCAGGAGGAGCAGTCGCATCAGGACCAGCAGCAGGAACCCGTGAAATGGCCACTGAAACCAGTTTGCCTCTCCAGGAACCCATTGTCCGTGCTGCTGCAGCCCCCGATTTGAAGAATTCATTACCTGAATTGCCTGACATCGCAGTATTCAACAACGCACCCAGCATCCCGGCTTTTCGCGAATTGAGAAGGGCTCATCACCAGAAAGGGATTCATTACATTGAAGAAGGAAGCAGGAAGGTTCATGCCACCAAAAAGGTTCATCGCACCAAAAAGGACCATGACGCGAAAGCAACTCATCACAATCACACCGAAGCAGTTCACACTGGTGCCAGAAATACGAATCCACGGCTGAGTAGGCTCCCTCGGGGATGGCCAGGCATCAGGAAGAGGCCACGTGGATCCAGCCAATGTGCACGCGCCACGTCATCAGGAGAATCTTTGCTGCCGCTGCTGCGACTGAAGAAGACACGGAGAGGAAGGGGGAAGTGTGGCAGGGGACGGAGGGGGAGGGGCAACGGCAAGAGAAGCAGGGAGAAAAGATACAGGAGGGTGGGAAGTGGGCACAGCACATCAGTGAAATCTGCACCAGAATCTCTTGAAACGAAACCGCCTGCTCCAATAACACCTGGTCAGAAACCACCTGGTCAGAAGCCACCTGCTACAATATCAAACCCACCTGCTAGTCCAGATTCACCTGGGGAATCATCTGACCGCCACGTCAGCATGCGGTCTAATCAAGATGCGCAACAGGCAGCCACAAGCAGCAGCAACACGTCCTTGCAGCAGAAGGCAGACAAGGACACCACTGTAGCACCATTCCCGGCTGTAGCTCCATTTCCGGCTGTAGCGCCAGCAACAACAGCAGCAGCAGTAGCAGCAGCAACGTCGCCTGCTGAACCTCCAGCTGCTCCCCAGCAGCCCAAACCCAAGTACTTTATTGAGATGGGCAAGATCCGTGTGAGTGGGGGGATCCGGGTGGGTTGGGAGGTTATGGGGCCCTGCGTGAGTGGGGGTAAGAGGATGAGGTAGGGCAATATCTGGTGCTCCTGGTTATGCTGGTGTTGCTCCCCAGCAGCCCAAAGCTATGTACTTTCTCGAGATGGGCAAGAACCGTGTGAGTGGTGGGATCCTGGTGGGTTGGGGGGTTATGGGGTCCTGCGTGAGTGGGGGTAAGGCAGGTCAATATCTGGTCCTCCTGGTTCTTCTGGTGTTGCTCCCCAGCAGCCCAAAGCCAAGTACTTTATCGAGATGGGCAAGATCCGTGTGAGTGGGGAGGATGGGGGTGGGAGCAGACGTGTGTAGCTGCTGCTGGTTTCCTTACTGCATACCAGCAAGGAGACCATTTCCTTGTTTCCTGCACTTCACCCTGCCATGCTGCCATCACCCCCCTCCCCGCAATCACCCCCACAGGTATCAGGGATCCACACTGCTTTGACTCATTATAAGACGATTCTTAGTTGCTTGTCTCTGCTACATGTAGCTGTTGACTTCTGTGTTGCTCTATGCTGCTCTGTGCTGCAATCACCCCCACAGGTATCAGGGATCCACACCGCTCTGACTCATTATAAGACGATCCTTTACATCGACCGCACGGACGTCAGCAACACCTATGCCAAGCTCCCAAACGGGCGGGTGAGAGAATTTGCGCGCACCAGTGCTCCGTTTTTCTCTTTGTGTCTCATATGCACCAGGCAAAGCAGGTCAGAGACAGTAACAGGTCTCATCGTGTCGGATTAGCAGAGAGTTTAAGCAATTAAGAGGATGCGCTCTGGTTTGTTTCATATGCCCCAGGAAGAAAAGTAGGTCCTGACTGTCAAGGGGATAGAATGTAACAGGTGTCATCTGCAAAGACTTTAAGCTTACGCAGAAGAATACGACTTTGAATCGAGGTCGCTCAGGGCTCTGGACGCCAAGCATAATGTCTTCTGTTCCTTTCCCCCGTCCCCACCTCCACACACACACCGTTCAGACGGCCTAAACAGAGGAGTACAGCTTTGAAACGGGGTCGCTCAGACCTCTGGGCGTCAAGTCACCTGTCAGTCACTCATATCCTTATCGGTTTCTTTCCCTCTCCACCACCGTCCCCCATGCAGACGGCGTACGCAGAGGAGTACAGCTTTGAAACGGGGTCGCTCAGGGCTCTGGACGTCAAGTCGAATGTCTTCTGCTCTGCCGGTACGTGCCAGAGTATTTTTGAGAATTCTCAAAAATACTCTACATTGCCGGTACGTGCCAGTCAACAACGGTGAGCGCTGGTCAATGCTGCTAGATCCTCGTGAATGTTGGTCAAGTGGTCAACGCTGGTCAATAGTGCTGGTCTCTCCCTCCCACCCCATCCCTCAGGCGCATCGACCCCTTGGGTTGGCTCATCAGCATCGGCGGCACATCAGTCGCCAATGCCACCAACCTGGCCTTCTGGGTTGTCTGTACTGCTGCTGCCACCACTGCTGATCAAGCCTGTGTTCCTCCCTGTTTCTCCCTTTCACACCTCCCTCCTTCCCTCCAATCCAGGTGCCATTGACCCCTTGGGTCGCCTAATCAGCATGGGAGACACATCAGACGCCAATGCCACCAACCTGGCCGACCCTCTGCTGTGTGATGCTCTCCTTCTCAACCCCACGACCCTCTGCACCCTCCCTCCCTGCTGCCCTCCAGGCGCCATCGACCCCTTGGGTCAGCTGATCAGCATCGGAGGCACATCAGATGCCAATGCCACCAACCTGGCCGACCCACTCCTTGATGGAGCTGCCTCCATCCGCTCCTTCACCCCCTGCCCCCCTGCTACTGCCACTAGTGCCGCCGCCACATCTGCTGCTGCCACTACTGCCAGTAGTAGCAGCAGCAGCAGCAGCAGCAGCGGCAGCAGCAGCAACACCGACAACACCAGCAGCAGCACCAGCAGTGGCAGCATCCGCAGCGGTAGTAGCAACACCAGCGGCAGCGGTAGCAGCAGCAGCAGTGGGGGGTGTGATTTCTCCCTGGTGGGGCAGATGACCTCCAAGCGGTGGTACCCCACAGCCCAGCTCTTACCAGACGGGCGGATATTCATAGTGGGAGGGGCGAATGTGTTTGGCAATGTGGCTATCAACTCGGTTCAGAACAACAACCCCACCTTCGAGTTCTGGCCCAGGAGGGAGGGCGAAGGTGAGCGACTGAGAGAAGGTGAGGGGGAGAGTGGCCTCCCTGCTGTGCGTTTCCACGGCTGGGTGCAGTTATGCGCAGTTAGGGAGAGGGGAGTGACCTCCAAGCCAAGCGGTGGTGGTACCCAGTCACTCCACAGCCCAGCTCTTACCAGATGGGCGCATTTTCGTTGTGGGTGGTGCAAGTGCGTTTGGCAACGTGGCAATCAACTCGGTTCAGAACAACAACCCCACCTTCGAGTTCTGGCCCAGGAGGGACAGAGAAGGTGAGTCTTTTGAAAGAGGGCAAGCAAATCCTGAGGTCCTGAGAATTCTGAAGAACCATGACCCAACCCTGTTCTCTATCCCAGGCAACTGCAAGCTCCGTTTCTTGGAAGAAATTTCTGCCCGTCAACCTCTACCCCTTTGTGCTCGTGCTTTCTCTAACCTCTCCTTTTTCCAACCCTACCATTCCCCTGATGTTCCTTTCTCCACGGTTCACCACCCTTCAGGAAACTACAAGCTTCGTTTTCTGGAGGAAACTCTGCCCTACAACCTCTACCCGTTTGTTCACCTGCTTCCTTCCGGGCATCTGTTCATATTCGCGGGGCAACAAGCGATTCTGCTCAACTACACCACCAACACGGTAGGCTTAACCGCTTCGCACCACACTGATCCGCACTGCCTCTCCCTCCCTAACTCCTGACCCATCCTCGATGCTGCACTGCTCTGCACCACCCTCTCCCTCTCCATCCCGCCCTCCCATCTCTGTCAGGTGTACAGCACTCTTCCTCTCCCATCTCTCTTCCTGCACATCTCTCGCTTCGGCCCAGCCAACATTAGCATTTATCTCTCCTACCCTGTCACGGGCTCCTCTTCTCTCCTCTTCTCTCCTCTTCTTTCCCTCCCATCTCTCTCAAATTTATCGCACCTCTTCCTCCTGTGGATGTCGCTCGCTTCAGCCCAGCCAACACCAACATCTTCCGCTCCTACCCTGTCACCAAATCCTTTGCTCTGTCCTCCACCTCTCTCCCTCCCTTATTCACTCCAACCCCATCCTCGATTCCCTCCCATCTCTCTCAGGTGTACCGTACCCTTCCTCCTCTCGATGTCTCTCGCTTCGGGCCAGCCAACACCAACATATTCCGCTCCTACCCTGTCACTGGCTCCTCGGCCATGCTACAGCTTTCCTCAGGTAGGCATGTCTCATCTGCTACAGCCTTTGTCTTGTATGGAATGGGGCGGCTCAAGCATCCGCTCCTACCCTGTCACTGGCTCCTCGGCCATGCTACAGCTTTCCTCAGGTAGGCATGTCTCATCTGCTACAGCCTTTGTCTTGTATGGAATGGGCCGGCTCAAGCATCCTCTCCTACCCTGTCACTGGCTCCTCGGCCATGCTACAGCTTTCCTCAGGTAGGCATGTCTCATCTGCTACAGCCTTTGTCTTGTATGGAATGGGCCGGCTCAAGCATCCTCTCCTACCCTGTCACTGGCTCCTCGGCCATGCTACAGCTTTCCTCAGATAGGCATGTCTCATCTGCTACAGCCTTTGTCTTGTATGGAATGGGCCGGCTCAAGCATCCTCTCCTACCCTGTCACTGGCTCCTCGGCCATGCTACAGCTTTCCTCAGGTATATCTGCCTTCACATCTGTGCTACAGCTGTTCCCTTGCATGTGTTTAGTCACCTCAAACCGCTCCTGCCCTGTCACTGGTTCCTCTGCCATGCTGCAACTCTCCTCATGTACGCCTGCCGCATGACTCTTCTTGTGTTACAGCCGTTTGTGTTGTGTGAAATGAGGCTTCCCAAACAGCCACTCCTCCTACCCTCTCACCTGTTCAAACAACCGCACCTCAAACAGACCCGCCTGCCCTGTCACCGGATCCTCTGCCATGCTACAGCTCTCCTCAGGTAGGCCTGTCTCCTCTGCCACAGCTGTTGTCTCGTATGGAATGAGGCACCTCAAATAGCTGCTCCTATCCTGTCACTGGCTCCTCTGCCATGCTACAGCACTTCTCAGGTATTCCGCCTTCACAACACAGGGGCATGCAATAATTATTCCCATCTCCCTCCCCCCCGCGCCCGTCCAGCTGACGGGTACACGCCCAGGATTCTCGTCTGCGGTGGCAGCAGCAGACCTCACCAACAGGGACAACCGCACAGGGGCATGCCTTGGGTGTGTGGGTTCACGCAATACTATACCTCCCATCCCCAATTCCCCCTCTCACATCCCCAGCTGACGGGTACACGCCCAGGATTCTCACCTGCGGTGGCAGCAGCAGCAAGGCAGATCTCACAAACCGGGACAACCGCACGGGGGTGTGCCTTGGGTGTGCTGCCCCTGCTGATGCCCAGACTCATTTGTTTTCCTCACCCCTCCCACTCCCTCTCGCCCGTCCAGCTGAGGGGTACACGCCCAGGATTCTCATCTGTGGTGGCAGCAGCAGCAAGGCAGACCTCACCAACAGGGACAAACGCACAGGGGCGTGCCTTGGGTGTGCGGCCCCCGCCACAGCCACGTGTGGGCTCATTGCGCCCATGGACGCCAACCCTACATGGACCTACGAGGTTATGCCTGTTGCTCGGTGAGTCCTCTCTTCCGAAAGCCCTCTCTTTGCTGGCGCTCTCCAGAGGCAGAGCCTGCTAGCTAGGGGATACCTTGCCTTGGGTGTGCAGCCCCTGCCACAGCCACGTGTGGGCTCATTGCTCCCATGGATCCCAACCCCACGTGGACCTACGAGATCATGCCTGTTGCACGGTGAGTGTTGCTTCTACTCCCTCATTCCTCTTCTTCTGCTCACTCGTGCCTGCGTGTGAATGTCCCTTGTCTTGGGTGAGCGGCCTTGGGTGTGCGGCCCATGCCACAGCCATTGCCACGTGTGGGCTCATTGCTCCCATGGATCCCAACCCCACGTGGACCTACGACATTATGCCCGTTGCACGGTGAGTGCCCATGCTTAGCAGTCCCTCTTTGCCCTTCCTGACCGCGTGCATGCTTCTTGGGTGAGGGCTTTTAAGGGCAGCAATCCCTTTCCCAACGCTGTGAGTGCTGCTTGAGAGCTTGCCAGAGCGCCTTCCCTTTGGTGCCTCCCTATGAGCGTGCCTTGGGTGTGCAGCCCCTGCCACGGCCACGTGTGAGCTCGTTGCTCCCATGGATTCGAACCTTACACGGACCTGTGAGATGTTGCACTGTGAGTGCTGCTTGGATTCTTGCCTGTGTGTGCCTGTGTGTGCCTCTGTGTGTACCTGTCTGTGTCTCTGTAACATGGATGGGAGAGGCTTTCAAAGTCTGCTCTAGCCTTTCACCCCACTTTCAAAATTTCTCCAAAGTGACTCCAATATGCAACACCTCTCTGCTCTCGCCTTTTGTCCCCACTACCTCCTCTCCCCACCACCTCCCTCTCCCCGCCCCTTCCTCCACATCCCCCCTTCCCGCCCCTTCCCCCACACCCACCCCACTTCATGTACTCTGCTACTCCCCTGAGCAGTGTCATGCCAGATGCCGTGCTCCTATTGGACGGCACGGTGCTGATCTGCAACGGAGGCAGGAGGGGATTCCAGGGGCTGAAGCAGACATACGCTGGAGGGGACGTGAGGACTCCCACCATCTACACCCCCTCGAACCCTCCTGGCAAGCGGTAGGTTAATTTTCGTAGTATGGGTAGTCCCACAGTAGAGTGCTCGTAGGGAGGAGGGGAGGCAGGAGGGGCTTCCAGGGGCTGAAGCAGTCGTACGCTGGAGGGGACGTGAGAACTCCTGTCATCTACACTCCCTCTAACCCTCCTGGCAAGCGGTAGGTGGCCCTGTGTACAGTAGGAGGGAGTAAATTAAGAGGTGATTTCAGGGCCTGAAGCAGGCATACGCTGGAGGGGACGTGAGGACACCCGTCATTTATACCCCCACAAATGCTGCGCAGGTTCCACAGTTTCGCAAATGCTACCCGTCATTTCCCCCCCCCCCCCCCCCCCCCCCCCCCCACCTTCTTTACAGTTTTTGGCAGGTTCCAGAGTCAAGCCGCTATGCTCGCATGTACCACTCCTCTGCTCTGCTCCTCTGCTGCTCCTTTACATGTGGCACAACCCCCATTCTCTCCCTTAACCCATCTCCCTTTCCACAGCTTCTGGCAGGTGCCAGAGTCGAGCCGCTACGCTCACATGTACCACTCCTCTGCTCTGCTGCTCTGCTCCTCTATACCACATTCTCTCCCCTCCCTCTCCCCACAGCTTCTGGCAGGTGCCAGAGTCGAGCCGCTACGCTCACATGTACTACTTATCTGCTTGCTGCTCTGCTCCTCTGCTGCTCCTTTACATGTGGTACAAACCTCATTCTCTCCCTTCTCCACAGTTTTTGGCAGGTGCCAGAGTCGAGTCGCTATGCCCGCATGTACCACTCCTCTGCTCTGCTGCTCTAGACCACATTCTCTCCCATCTTTCTCCCCACTACATTGGCAGCTTCTGGCAAGTGCCAGAGTCGAGCCGCTATGCCCGCATGTACCACTCCTCTGCTGCTCCCATACACGTGGCACAAATCCCATTCTCTCCACTTCTTCCCCCCCTTCCCCACAGTTTTTGGCAGGTTCCAGAGTCAAGCCGCTACGCTCGCATGTACCACTCCTCTGCTCTGCTGCTCTGGGATGGCTCGGTTCTAATTTCCGGGTCTAATCCCAACGACCGCCTCACCACCAGGGGAACTTACCCTACTCAATTCGCCGTTGACCGGTTTGCCCCGCCGTATCTGCAGTGGGGTGTGCCCAGGAACGTGCTGTGGAAGGTGAGGGGGAAGAGAGGGGAAGTTGTTGGAAGGGGAGGTTGTGGGGAGTGAGGGAGGGAAGGGAAGGGTAGTTAGTGCAAATTCTTCATTCCTAGTTGACTGGTTCGCCCTGCCGTACCTGCTGTCATGCGATGCCCACCAGCAACCACATTGCCAATAACCACTCTATCTTCCCCCCCCCTTCACCTTCTACCCTCCAGGTACCCGCTACCGTTGCTTTGAATACCCTCTTTTCAGTCCGGCTTAACACGTCTGTAAACACTCCACCATCGCTCCCTCGCCTTATCAATCGCTTCCGTGCCGTTCTCGTCCATCGTTTTCCACACACAGCCAACGCATGGGTATGCGGAACGTGCTGCTTGATATATCAGCAGTCTGGATTACCCCAGACAATCAAACTGTTACAGTTGCGATACGAGCGCCGCCTAATAGCAGCATTGCACCACCGAGTATTTATTGGTTGCATATTTTAGATCAAGGTGGTTATCTTGATGCTAATGGTGCATGGTTTCCTGGTAAGTGGGTTCCCAATGCGGATGGTCAATCTTTGAGGATAGTCAAGTAGCTGAGAGACTGTTGACCCAGTTGCATTTTGATTTCAATTTTTACATTATCAAAAACAAATCTTTATCTGGCATAGGTGGTGGCTTCTGATTTGAATGAATTTATGGCAGTACCGTTCTTGCGTGTTTTCATGTTTTTTACAATTTATTTTTGCATTTCTCTCCCAAAAGCTCTGAGAACTATCCTAGATTCACCTTATATCGAGGATTTAGGCTCTCGACTTCCTCCCGCACTTTCCCCAACTCCTCTGTTCTGTTCCAACCTCTCCCTCCCCACCTTTTTCGATCTGGTCTCCGCCAATTCCTTCAAATCTGTCGAATCCTTCGAATCTGTCACATTCTCAAAATTCTCTTACCTTGGGATTGCCGAGCTGACAGCCTGATCACCTCTTCCAGCAGCCGCAGCCATGGCGTCTCTAGGCGCATGCGGGATCCAATTCGCGCGGCGCTTTGTGATTTTCACGCTTGTTCTGGCGTCGCTCGCTTGTATCGGTCAAGCCAGCGAGAATCTGGTCATTGTCAGGGTAGATCGTAAGGTGCGAATTGACAAGTGATGACAAGAAGGAATCTCTTAGAATAATAACCTATGGATTTCTGGTTAGTGTTGTGAGTTGCGAACGACAGGCTGTGTATTTACGCCATAATAGGTCGATGGTTAGATTTGCAATCGAGTCACCATGGTCAGACCGTTTCGCTATTGTCACTTTCAGAATCTGGATCTGGGCGACGTTGTATGTCAGATCCATAGTTTACTGTCCATCGTCAGATCTGAATTATAGTCATCGCTATCTTCATAGATTACCAATAAGCGTGCGACACGAGCTGTTTGCTCTTACATTCATAGACCGTCGACGGATCGCACATTAAGTCGCATCAGCAACCGTTTCTACTTTCCAGTCTTCATCCTGAATGCATTTACGTCCTGCGTTCTCCCCGTTTTCTCTGGTGCAGATCGACCTTCAGACCCATCTTGTCCGCAACTCCGCGACGCTCAAGGTGAGACATTTTGGAGTTGGACACAGCGTGCCATATGTTATTTTTGTTTCTGAATTTTTAAAGTTAAGTCAGGACACAGTATGCTTGATTTGTTCAGAGGCCTTTCCCCCTATTATATGGTGAGACGCATTGAGTCTAGAGCAAGAATGTTCTCGGCCATTTGAGGTGATTTCTGCGGGTAATGCGGCCTTTCTTATTTGGGAGATCTGAGAATAGATTGTTGCCCGTACCTGTTCTATCGTATCCCCGTACCCGTTCTATCGTACCTATAGGCTATAGCAGGGCAGCAAGCTGTAAAACCGTGCTATTATCAATCAAGATCGACGCATTTTCTGCAAAATTCATGTCACTCATTTGCTTTCGTGGTCGTCAACGTTTTATGACCACACTGAAATTTATTGAAACCCTTTTAAACGCTCTGACAATAATAGCGTTTGTGAATGGATCCGAAGTAGTTTGCGGAGCGGATTATACCTGCACGCATGCCCTGTTTTGAAAATGTTGCAACTTTCTCCTACACAAATTTCGGAGCACGGCGGACAGCACAGCAGATGATGAGGCTCATGTTGAATTGCGCAAGGGCTCGGACACAGCAGGGCACGATCCGTGCCTTGCTCTTGTAGAGACACGCACATGCCATTAGGGTTCTGATGCTGGCACGCTGCTGAACTTACCACATGTAGTGTGCTCTTTTTATATTTCTACGTCACCTACAAGTGGAGTAAGCGGGCTCAAAGCCTGTCTCTTCGGTTTCAGAAGCGCCCCCTTCCAATCCAACCTTTCTTAACTCCTAACTTCTCTGTTCTTTCTGCTTTACTTGCTTCATTCCAACACTTACAGGTGGAGAACGCTGGGTCAACGCCCGTCTCCTCTGTCACCCTCGCGCTGCTCGTCCCGCCGCCCTCCCGCCTCGCATTCGCCACAGCCGTTCTCCTCCAGGGCAAGGCCAAGAGCCGCACCTTCCAGGAGCTTCCCCTCACGCCCACCACCCCGGAATCCCCGGTCGAAAACGCGATTTACTTTAAAGCCCCGCTGCCCGCGCCGCTAGAGCCCGGGAAAACCGCGCAGATAGAGTGCTACTTTGTGCTGATTAACGCTCTCACGCCGCACCCGGCGGAAATCTCCCAGGCGGATCCGCAGCTGGTGCTCTTCCAGGATTCGCACTACTTCACCTCTCCGTACCCCGTCCGATCGCAGACCACCGTTCTCCGCCTCCCCAGCCACCAGATCGAGTCGTTCACGCCGCTGGAACCTTCCAAGAAGGCGGACTCGGAGATTAAGTTGGGGCCGTATGAGGGGGTGGATGCCGGGGCGGTATCGTCGCTGTTGGTTCATTATGAGAACAACAGGCCGTTCCCGCTGTTTGAGCGCGCGGAGAGGGAGTACGAGATTTCGCACTGGGGGAATGTGTATGTGACGGAGGACTATCACCTCGTGCACTCGGGGGCGAAGCACACGGGCATGTTCTCGCGGTAAGTGTTTTGTTTTAGGGGGGTGGGGGGTTGGGGGAAGGTAGGCAAACAGAGAAAGACATTTGGGAGAGGGAGTATGAGATCTCGCACTGGGAAAATGTGTATGTGACGGAGGACTATCACCTCGTGCACTCGGGGGCCAAGCACACCGGCATGTTCTCCCGGTGAGTGCTGTGAGGCGTGGGTTAAAGCAGGCAGACATAGGCAGACAGAGAATGGCATAGAGCTGAGTTAGAGAGAGAGTACGAGATGTCGCACTGGGGGAATGTGTATGTGTCGGAGGACTACCATCTCGTGCACTCGGGGGCCAAGCACACGGGCATGTTCTCCCGGTGAGTGCATTTGGGAAGGAACACGGGGAAGGCAGGCAGACAGAGAAATCGTCCCATGGCCATTGGCGTCTCGTCTCTGTGCGGGCTCATGGCAGTACTGCCAGAGAGGGCGCACACAGGACCTAATATCAACGCTGTACTTCCTTCCCCTCCTGCCAACTCCCAACTCTCCTCCCTCCTCCCTCCTCCCCCCTCCGCTCCTCTCCCCCCCAACCCCCCCAGTCTGGACTACCAGCACCGTCCCATGGCCATTGGAGTGTCGTCCCTGCGTGGGCTCATGGCAGTGCTGCCGGAGAGGGCGCACACGGTGTATTACAGGGACGAGATCGGGAACATCTCCTCCTCGCACCTCCGATACCCGCCCAGAAAGGTGTGCAGTGCGGTGCCGGTGGGTGCTGGTGGGTGCTGGTGGGTACTGGTGGGTGCTGGTGGGTACTGGTGGGTGCTGGTGGGTGCTGGTGAGTGTGAGTGGGGTGCTTATGGGTGGGGGAGGGCTCATGGCAGTGCTGCCGGAGAGGGCGCACACGGTGTATTACAGGGACGAGATCGGGAACATCTCCTCCCCGCACCTCCGATACCCGCCCAGATAGGTGCGTAGTGCGGTGCTGGTGGGTGATTCGATGATCTCGTTCCATGTTCACCCCACACATCCTCCTCTACCTACTCTCACTTATTCGCAGACCTAACTCCAACCCCCCGTCCCCCTCCCAAACCTCCCGTACCGAACCTCAGGCCGAGCTGGAGATCGAGCCTCGGTACCCGCTCCTGGGCGGGTGGTCCGTGACGTTCCGAGTGGGGTACAGCGTGCCTCTGGGCGACCTGGTTTCCATCAGCACGGACGGCACTCGCGGTCTCAACGCCACCCTCGGCAGCCCCTTTGCTGACGTGCCCGTCAAGCATTTGACTGTGAAGGTGAGCAGGGTAGAGGGCGCAGAGGTGGGGTATGCAGCAGGGAGGGGCAGCAGGGGAGGGGCGGGGAGGAGGGGCAGGCAGCAGGGGAAGGGCAGCAGGGGAGGGGTTGTTGGGTGGGCGGGTGGCGGGTGGGAGGAGGGGCGTTCCGAGTGGGGTACAGCGTGCCTCTGGGCGATCTTGTTTCAATCAGTACTGACGGCTCTCGCATGCTCAACGTCACCCTCAGCATTTGACGTGCTCTTTAGCTCATTTCCTTATGCGTCATCTTCCTTATCCTCGCTTCCGTCTGTGCCTCTCCCTCCCTGTCCATCCACCCCTCCCTGCTTCTCCCTCCAGGTGGTGCTTCCGGAGGGCTCCTACGGCATCTCTGCAGACGTGCCCTTCCCCGTGGGCAAGAGCACTGAGGTGAGAGCAGATCTGTGGAGGCAAAAACAATGGGGTGACAAGGGAGGGGTTATGAAGCATAGGGGAAATGGAGATAGATTCATGAGCGTGAAAGGAGGGCTCCTATGACATCTCTGCAGAGTGTGAGAGGAGGCCTCCCTGCTGGCAAGAGTTTTGAGGCGCCTCAGAAGTATTTGAGTCGCCTCAGAGCATGAGAGGAGGCCCCTCTGTTGGCAAGGGCACTGAGGTGAGAGAAGTTGCTCTGATATGTTTTTAGGATGTAAGCAATCTGTGCAAATTCAATCAGTTCTTCCCCGTCTGCGTAAAATGCTACTATTTCTGTTCAAACACTTCCTCATTTTTGCTTCTCCTTCCATCTATCTCCCTTTCCCCATTCTTCCCCTCCTCCCCTCCTGTTCTTCCCTCTTCCCCTCCTTTCCTTCTTTTCTCCTCCCCTCCGCAGACCAAGTACTCATACCTTGATACCGTGGGGCGCCCTGTGGTGGTGCTGGATAAGAGGGACCTGGTTCCGGAGCAGGGGATTATGCACTTCCAGGTGGGTTCAAACACAGTGCTGCAATGGAGTGGCTACCACCAGCCCATGCGCTATTGCCCAACTGAGCTGTTTCCTATATGTTGGTGGTGGTGTTGGATAAGAGGGACGTGGTGCCAGAGCAGGGGATCATGCACTTCCAGATGTGTTGGAAACTCAAAGAGTATGGTGAATTACAGTGTCTGAAAATGCCATCCGGATAAGAGGGTTGTGATGCCGGAGCAGGGAGCCATGCACTTCCAGGTGGGTTGAGCTCAAACAAACTGGTTTTTTTTTTTTTAGGCGCCTTAAAAAACTGGTAGTCTCGCTGCTTTTCCAGAGGGTTGTAATGCCAGATCAGGGAATCATACACTTCCAGGTGGGTTTCAAAAGGCATTCAGCATGGTGACTTACAGTGTCATATCATGCAACTTCCTCACGCTCTTCCCCTTCCTATCCTTCCTTCTTTTCATTGCATACACCCACTCCCACATCACCTTCTCTAAAACTGCCCCCTCTTTCCCTCTCACCTGCCCTCTCCACCTTCCCTTGCCTCCCCTTCCTTGCCCTGCCCTTCCTTGCCCTTCCCTTCCCATTCCCCCTTCAACCCCTTTTTTCCCCCCATCAGGTGAAGTACAAGTTCTCAACGGTCGCTCTCCTCACAGAGCCTCTCCTCCTCATCCTCTTCTTCTTCCTGCTCTTCCTCCTCTTCATCGCCTACACCCACTCCGATCTCACCATCTCCAAAACCGCCCCTCTTTCCCTCCCTGCCGTGCCCTGCCCTGCCCCGCCCTGCGCCCCACCCTGCCCTGCTCTGCCCTGCCCTGCCCTTCCCTGTCCTGATGTGCCTTCCCCATCCCCTTCCCTTTCAGGTGAAGTACAAGTTCTCAACGGTCGCACTCCTCACAGAGCCTCTCCTCCTCATCCTGTTCTTCTTCCTCCTCTTCCTCCTTTTCATCGCCTACACGCACTCCGATCTCACCATCTCCAAAACCGCCCCCGCCTACCTCGCCAAGCTTCACCACGAGGAGTTTCTCGACCTCATCCAACGGCTCTCGCGCCTCGTGGCCGATCGTGCGGCTCAAATCGAGTCTCTGGACGCTGGGTTGGTGAAGCTCGGAAGGAGTGGGGATGTGGCGGGAGCGAAGGCGGGCAGGAGGGCTGTTGAGGGGGAGTTGAAGGAGAGTGGGAGGGAGATTGCTTCAGTGGTGGGGAAGATTGAGGCTCTTCCCAAGGTTCCTGCTGGTACCCTGCGCACTGTAAGTCCCACTTGCTTTCCTCTGAGCTGCATTCTAGTCGACTGAAAGTAGAGGCGGAGGGGGAGGGGAAGGTGGGTTGGAGGGCTGTTGAGATCAAGCTGAAAGAGAGTGGGAGGGAGATTGCTTCTAAGTTTGGAAGATCGAGGCTCTCCCCAAGGTTCCTGCTGGTCCCCTGCGCACTGTGAGTCCCACTTCTCTTCCGCTGAGCTGCATTTTGAGTCGACTGGAAGTGGGGAAGGGGGGGGTGGAAGGCGGGCAGGAGGGCTGTTGAGACCGAGCTTAAGGAGAGTGGAAGGGAGATCGCGTCTGTTGTGGGGAAGATCGAGGCCCTTCCCAAGGTTCCTGCTGGTCCCCTCCGCACTGTAAGTCCCAAGGTTCCCAAGGTGGCAAAGATTAAGTTCCACTTCCTTTCCTCTGAGCTGCATTTTTTAGTCGACTGAATATACGTTGGGGGCGAAGGGGGGTAAGGGAGGGCGGTGGAAGGGGAGTTGAAGGAGAGTGGGAGGGAGATTGCTGCATTGTCGGGAAGATTAAGATTCTTCCTAAGGTTCCTGCTGGTCCCCTGTGCACTGTAAGTGCCCCTTATTCCCACTCTCTCCCCCTCTTTCCCTCTTCCTTGTCACAAATTTTCATCTCCCGACCTGTTCCCAAGTTCCCACATTTGTGCTTTCAGCAGGGAGGGAACTTGCTGCCGTAGTGGGAGGAAAAGTGGAGTCCCTTCCATTGGCTCCTCTCTTTCCCTCACCCTTCCTCTCTCCTCTCCTCACGTCTCCATTTTGTCATCCCTTCCCCCACGTGCGGAGATGGCCATGGCAGTGCACACGGTGGCAGAGGAGACGTATGAAACCAAGACCCATGCCGAGGAAATTGACGCGAAGTCACTCTCTCCCCTCTCTTTTCCCAGGTGCAAACCCTTGTTGCGAAGGATAAGGAGCGTGCAGAGAGGGCCGTGGCGAAGCATACGGTGGCAGTGGAGGCATACGAGAAGAAGACTCCTGCCAAGGAGATTGATGCTAAGATTGGTCCGATGCAGCAGCGACTGGCGGCTCTGAAAGCAGAGATCAAGGAACTGGTGATGGCTCTGGAGGAGTGAAGGGTTGGTGAGGGGGATTTGGGTTGAGGGGAGGCGGCATGGAGATGGGTGGGGAGCGACTAGCGGCTTTGAAATCAGAGACTTAGGAATTGGTGATGGCTTTGGTCTGGAGGAGTGACGGGTGTAAGAGGGATATGGGGGATTGGCGGGGTGAGGATAAGGGTGAGGATGAGGGGCATGGGGAGTGATGGAGAGGAGGTGTGTGGGAGAAAGGGGGTGGATGGGGGAAGCACAATGGCAAGATCAGCCCTGTGCAGTGCAAAAATGAACTTGCGTTTGGGAAAGGATGCGCCAAAAGCGAATGACTGGCCTATGCATTTTTTCCATGGATCAAATTGAAAAGATTTTTAGGTTCCTTTAGGAACTTCTGGGCTGATTTTGGATGGAGAAAGGCCTCCGGTTTCGTGCCTTCAATTTATTCTCGTGAGCTAAGTATGCTGCTTATAATACGGTACGTGCAAACGTTACATGTTCGAAACTCAATACCGAGTCGGCCTGCCTGGGAGCCAGAATCGCAGTCGCACGCAACTTCCTACGAGTTCAAATTTCAAAACTGCGTAGCGCCGCATTTTGAGCTTCCGCTCCGCTCCCTTCCGCCAAGAGCTGCGGCTGAGTCTCTTATGGATGTCTGATCTGGTTACGCCAAAACAGTTTTGATTCGGAAAAGCTGACTGCGCAGATCGGATTGCGCGGGGCGGATTCGATTTGAGGAAGTTCGTTGCGCGGATCGGGTTTGGGGGCTGCTTGCGCTGCGATCTGAAGTTCTGACAGGCGTTTGTCGCTTTCTCCGGTGTAACCATGGCGTCTGTCGAGCCGCCTTCCGCGGCGGGAATTGCACGCGCCACCGAAAATTCCGGAGCCGCAGAATCAGCGTCGTCTAGCCAATACACCGAGTTTAAAGCCCAAACTTGGTACGACGTGCAGCGGAATGCGCCCGCTGGGGGTAGTGACCTCCGCGGCGCGGGCGCGGGCGGAGCGGAAAGCGGAGCAGTGGCGGAAGGTTTTTCCGCGGAGGCGGTGCTCCGCCAGGCGGAGCAGCAGGCGGCGGAGCGCAGGCGTGGCGCAAGGCTGCGCGCCGCTCCCCCTGTGTATTTCTTTCCGCGGAGATCATGGGTTGTGACTATAACGAGATACGGCGCGGTTGTGGCGGCGGGTTTGGCGACGGGAATGGCGCTAGAGACATGGATCCGACAAAAAGTGGCAGGTATGGGTGTCTCCAGAGATATTGGGGAGGGGAAATGACTGTAGAGGCATAGGATAAAGGGATATAAGGTACAGGGTTCAAGGTGCATGGGTGTATAGGTGATTGGTTGTCCTTGGGGTGAGAATTTTTTTCGTTTGAATAAGTGTATGGTGTCGGACTGTGGGGAAAGGTGAAAGGGCAAAGCGGAGTTGGATGGAGGGGAGGGGGAGTGCGGAAGGGGGAGGGAAGAAGGGGGTAAGGTAAGGAGGGAGGAAAGAGGAGAGAAGGGAGAAGGCAAAATGAGCAAGCAGAAGATTTATGAGAGGATGCTGCCAGGTTATGTGTCCTTACCTCATGCTTTGCACCCCTTTATGCCGCTCTTCACCCCTTTGTGCTCCGCTGACCGTTTCATTGTGTGCTTGGGTCTGAGCAGAATCAGGATTGAATACCTCTGTGCCCCTATGCACTGCACTGCACCATGTGATTCTTTCTCTGTGTTCCTGAGTCTAGAGGACGGTGGGTGCGTCGTGGGAGGAGGGAATCTGAACAAAATCAGCAGCAAATGTCCCTCTCTGCCCTTCTGTACACCCCTCTGTTGCATTCTCCATGCGCCTTTCTCTGTGTCCAGAGGATGGTGGCTATGTCATGGGGAAGAAGGGAGCTGCAAATCAATAGTAGTATCAACGTGAGTTGCACTCCTGCATCTGTACAAGCAACGCATTACAGCAGATTTTAGTATCGTCTATAATTTTCAGGAGAGTAATCAACCAAAGTAGTACTGTTCATACGAGGTAGAACCGTTAATGAAGGAAAGGAAAAGAAGATGAAAATGGAGAGTTATGGGGGAAGATCTGGCTAATTTCTCTAATGGGGGGCGATGTAGAACTGATAATGTTATTAACCATCCGTGTTTGTTTCCTCTAATCTACACTTCTTATCTTATCGAGTCTTCCAACGGAGTGACAACGCCGAAATTCGGCCCCAGCCAGAAAGGAAACCATCCAATAGAGGCTTCCGCCTGATCACTGGGCTCGCCAGCAAAGCGGCGTGACGTGGCGGCCAAAAGGGGGTGTGAGGGGAGTGGTTGGTTGGGATTGTGTGCGGCTGACTGCTCCGCTCCCGTTGATAAGTGTTGCGGACAATCAGGATTCACCATGACAACTTCGAGGTTTCAAGTTCTTGGCTGAAATTTGGAAGGGGTTGAGAGAGATGGGGAGGACTTTTGCAGATGGCTTTTGAAAATGTTCTGTGTTGACTGTTCTTGTAGCGAGCATGCCTCGCTAGAGGCACACCAGCCGAGATTCCTTGGGAACTTCAAAACAATGGCTCCGTTTTGTTAGCATTTCCTTTTGCCCAGCTTACTAGTCCTGCTAGGGCGTCCTTATCCTCTTCCTGACACCATTCCCGTTACCGCGTTGTAGAGCGTGCATGCGATGCCGTTTTAGGAAAAGGACATGTGTCCGTGACGTGTTAGCCTGGCCAGCAGGGAGAGCTGAGACTGTGGTGTGCGATCACCCATCGACCTGATCAGATATTCCTTTCGCATCGCCCTCATTAGTACCTTTCTTTGTAACCCCTCGCGGAAAAGCAGTATCCGTGGTCGCGAACGTTGGCCAGATTTCGACCGTCGGATGTATCAGATGGAATACCTATCCGTCGATGCTACGATCTCCTGATCCCACTTTGGTTGACCGATACTTTAGTCGCCAGTGATAGTTTCCTCTCGCTGTTTGCCGCCACTTCGCCTTCGCCTTGATAGCCCCGTACTTCAGCACTAATTTCCATTAGTTCGCTCCGAAAGCAGTTCGAAGGGTGGACATTAGTGCTGAATGACCAGCTAGGGTTTCCTGCGCTGGTGTTTCGATCACTCGCTGCGGAAGATTTGCGTCAGTTGATACCGCAGAAATCACCATGCAGGGTTCGCTGTCATCACTTCCCAGGCCTCCGTGCGGTACGCTCAGCCTGTGAACCTATCGCATCAACCTGTTTCGTGTGTGATTTTGTAAGGTTAGATTTCTTGTTGAATAGTCTGGCGTGGCTGAGTCCTTTAGTACAAGTGCGCCGTGTTGCGACCATGTGTATGCGGTACTGGCTGTCACCAGTTGGTTAACGGTGATCCTTTTCTTTTCACGTTCTTCTGTTTTTCCCTGTACGCGTTACAGGATGCGTCGTCCCTGGACGCGTCCCTTGTACTCGTGTGCACCTTCAAGCGCAGCAGCCCGCGAGCCAGCAGTCACTTGCCATGCACCAGGTGTGACTTGACTTTATATAAACCGACTCAAATTTCAGCATCAGACTCCGTTGTTCTTGGAGGGTAAAACATAAAAATCAATTACCTCGTATTGAGGAAGTGTCGTTTGCTTTTCGCTTTGTGCCTGTCATATATTCGCGCGAAACATAGAGAGGAAGGAGGTTGAGCAAGAGAGGACGAGCGAGTCTCTCTGTGCAAATGTTCATGTCAGTGCACTCTCGTCGATTCTTTTCCAGCTTGTCTTCATTTGCTCCCCGTCCCATACTCTCCCACTTTCTCCCACCTACCGCTACCTTGCCCTTCCAGTCTATCGGCCGCGGAAGGGCGTCCTCTCTCCCTCTCTCCACCCTATCTACTGCCATGTCTCCATCTGCTGCGCCTGCCAGTGTCCTTCGCCCCTCCTCGCTCCACCCGTGGGGATGGCAGGGTCTAAGGGTCCCAGGAAGGATAGAGCTAGGGAGAGGGGTGGGGTTACATCCGGGCGCAGGATTCGCAGGAGGATTTCAGGGCATAGGTGCAGCAGGAACAGGAGCGGGTGTTGGAAGGGGTAGAGGGCTTAGACGTGCTGGTTCGTTGGGTGTAGTTGCGACGGTTTCTGGTGCAGGTGCATCTGGGGGAGGAGGGGACTCGTCTGGGTCCACGTCACAGTGGAAAGCAGGCGAGGCGGCTGGTAGCAGCAAATCGAAAGCTGTCAGCTCAGCATTAGGCTCTGCAGGGAAAGCAGCTGGGGGAGCGAAGAAGGCGAAAGCGGGAAAGAAACGGTCACAGGGCACGTCAGCAGCAGCAGCTGCTGACGTGGATAAGGACTGGGATCCAATCACCGAGTTACTAGAGCGGGTGCCGAACCGGGTGGAGCCGCAGGTTCGGGTGAACGGGCAGCTGATGTCGCTCAAGGAGGCGGAGGCTCGGGCCGTACCTGCGCCGATCCGAGCCTTGAACGCTCTAGAGCAAGGGATTGAAAGCGCTCGTGAAGCGGCGTTGGGAAAGCTGGCGGAGGTTCTAGGAGGGGTGGATAAGGAGGTGATTATAGAGGAGGGGATTGAAGAAGATGGCTTGGCAGCAGAGGGTAGGGAGGAAAAGGAAGGGAAACAATCTCAACAGGGAGTTTCCTCAGGCTCAGGTGCTGTCTCGTCCGCTGATGCTACTCAGGCTAATCCCGTATACCTGAAAGATCTCCTGCGCGAGTTTAAGGGGGAGCTGGTGGTTCCGGAGGAGGCGTTTGCTCCGCGCGTGGTGGAAACCACCGCGTTTGAGCACGCGCTGGCGGACGCTCCGCCCATGAGCGCGGCGGAGTTTCTGGGTTTTGCGGAGAAGAAGCAGGTTGCGCTGGTGACGTCGCGCGGGCTGAAGCGTCGTGATGGGAGGTTCGAGTACTGGGATGTGCTGGTGCAGCTGAAAGAGGTCCCGGGGGAGCCGGCCTTGCAGACCAACACCTGGTGAGTGTGTGGGGGGGCTGTGCGTGCACATGACTGGGGGGGAAGGTCATGTTTCAAGCGAGTAGTGAAGAGGTTTGAGTACTGGGACGTGCTGGTGCAGCTGAAAGAGGTGCCGGGGGAACCTGCGCTTCATACCAACACCTGGTGAGTGTAGAATGAGGTCAATGGGGAGAACAAGCAGGTTGCGCTGGTGACGTCGCGCGGGCTGAAGCGGTGCGATGGGAGGTTCGAGTACTGGGATGTGCTGGTGCAGCTGAAAGAGGTCCCGGGGGAGCCGGCCTTGCAGACCAACACCTGGTGAGTACGGGTGAGGTGAGGGGAGTGGAGTGGAGAGGGTTTTTTCTAATTAGCGGGAGAATGGCGAGAAGAAGCAGGTGGCGCTGGTGACGTCACGCGGGCTGAAGCGGCGTGATGGGAGGTTCGAGTATTGGGATGTGCTGGTGCAGCTGAAGGAGGTCCCGGGGGGAGCCGGTGCTACAGAACAACACCTCGTGAGTGCAGCTCTCAACTCAAGCGGATAATGAAGAGGGTCGAGTACTGGGACGTGCTGGTGCAGCTGAAGGAGGTCCTGGGGGATTCACCTCAGCCGGACTCACCAGATGTTTCCCTTCCCCCACCACCCCACCCCACCCCGCCCCACCCCTCCCCACCACTCATCATTGCCTCCTTGCAGGAGGCTCAAGGTGGACTCGCAGTCTGTGCCGGCAGTGCTGGCGGCCTATAAGGGACCACAGAAGGAGGTGGAGACTGTATACTCGGTAAGAGCTTTCACGTGTACTCGTTGTAGTGAATTTTAAAGTGAATGTCGTACGTAATGGCTGTGTCAATGGCTATGCGGTCTGTGCCGGCAGTGCTTGCGGCCTATAAGGGACCACTGAAGGAAGTGGAGACTGTGTACTCGGTAAGAGCTTTTCCATGTACTTGTTATCGTGATCAAAGAATGAGTTGTACATGGTGGCTGCGTGAATTGTTATGCAATGCAGTTACTCCCATTAGTGCTGGCGACCTGTAAGAGTCGTCCCCGTCTCCCACATCAGTCCTTTGTCTGCTGTCACTTTAACAAAACTCATCTTCTTTTCTTCCTTGTCGTCCCCTTCTCCCCCATCAGACGTTTGTCGAGGTGCCATCAGCTAAACCCCTCCCAGCAGCGAGGTGATTTTTGAGTCGACTCAGGCGTTTTTTCTTCCTCATCTCCGTTTTTCCTCGTTTTCTTCCCCTTCTCCCTCATCAGACGTTTGTTGAGGTGCCATCAGCTAAACCCCTCCCAGCAGCAAGGTAACCTTTTCAGGTCGACCAAAAAAAATTCTTCTCCTTCCGCTCCCTCTTCTCTCCCATCAGACGTTTGTCGAGGTGCCGTCAGCTAAACCCCTCCCAGCAGCCTCCACCATCTCCGGACGAATCTTCCTGGAATGTTCCATCCTAGCAGCCATCCTCCAATCCTTCCTCTCCGCCCTCATCGCCTCTTCCACCGCCGCCCTTCTCCTGGCCTCCTCCGCCGTACTCTTTATAGCCCGATCCGTTTTATGGCCCCTGGCGAAACCCCTCCTGACGCCTGTAGTCTGGATTGTAGCGGCTGTAGCGAAGCAGATAGCTGCGGTTCTCACTGCCACGTGGGCCAGTCTATTCGCTCCGGGTGGCGCGAGCTTGTTTGGATTCATACAGTTACAGCTGGCAGCGATGTTTGGAAGCGGAGGGATAGCAGCGGGGGTGACTGGCGCTGCTGCCAACGCGTCAGGAGATGCCATTACTGACGTGGCAGCTGACATGGCAAGGGAGATTTTTATCGGGAAGCTGAAGAGCTCGGCCAAGGCGGTGGGGATGATGGTGTTTGTGGTGCTGTTTATGGCGGCAGGGGCGAAGTTCACCCTGAACAGGCGGACAAGGGACTACACCAAGTGGGTAAGTCACCAGGGGGTTTGCGGGGTTGCAGGGAGGCGAGACGGGAGAGAACGGTGGGGATGATGGTGTTTGTGGTGCTGTTCATGGCA